TTCAATACATTTCAGTACAGAAGGAATAGGAGGGCCCTGCTCATGGAGCTTACAATCTAAAGGAAGGGGGAGGTGATACAAAGGGTGATAACTGCGGGGGATGATCTGGCGTAGGTGATTCAAGTACAGTTCTTAGGTGGAGGTTGGGTAGGCTTCCCTGAAAAAGTGAGTTTTCAAACATCGCCTAAAGGCAGACAGGGTGGGGGCTGACCAGACATGCTGTGGTAGGGAGTTCCAGAGGATGGGAGAGGCTCTGGAGAAGTCCTGGAGGCGAGCGTGGGAGGAGGTGATGAGGGAGCTGGATAGGAGGATATCATGGGAGGAGCGGAGTGGGCGATTTGGGCGGTATCTGTGGATGAGGTTGGTGATGTAGCTAGGGGCAGTGTTGTGGATGGCTTTGTAAGCTATGGTTAGTATTTTGAATTTTATACATTGGGTTAGTGGAAGCCAGTGGAGGGATTGGCAGAGAGGGGCAGCAGTCGCTGATCGGTTGGTAAGGTGTATGAGTCTAGCAGTAGCATTCATAATAGACTGAAGGGGGGATAGCCTGTGTAACAGTAGACCAGTGAGGAGGGAGTTGCAGTCATCGAGGCGGGATATAACCAAGGCGTGGATAAGTTGTTTTGTGGTGTCATTGGTCAGGAAGGGGCGGATTTTGGAAATGTTCCAGAGGTTGAGGCGGCAGGATTTAGCCAGTGAGTGGATGTGGGCCCCAAAGGAGAGGTCAGAGTCTAGGATTACGCCTAGCACCCTGGCATGAGGGGAAGGACCAATGGCTGTGCTGTTGATATTAATGGTAAAGTCATGAGTGGGGGATCGGGGAGGAGGAAATATTACAAGCTCAGTTTTTTAAAGATTGAGTTTAAGGTAGTGATGTGACATCTATGCTAATATGTCACTTAGTAGATTTGTGATACGTGAGGAGGTTGAGGGGGTGAGCTGGGGAGTGGAGAGGTAGATCTGGGTGTCATCAGCATAGAGGTGGTATTGGAAGCCATGGGAGGTTATCAGTTGGCCCAGGGAGGAGGTATAGAGAGAGAAAAGGAGGGGCCCAAAGACAGAACCTTGGGGTACCCTAACAGTAAGAGGAAGCGGAGCGGAGGAGGAGTTGTATGTGACACTGAAAGTGCGCTGAGAAAGGTAAGAGGAGAACCAGGAGAGAGCAGAGTCATGGAGGCCGATGGAGTGAAGTTTACTGAGGAGGAGCGGGTGGTTGACTGTGTCAAAGCCAGCAGAAAGGTCAAGGAGTTTTCCCCCTTGACATGGAGACACCACAGGTATTCACATGGTAGAAGTCTCACAACTGTTTCCAAGTATATTCATTTTAGATAATAATGAATCTGCTGCTGACCAGACATCAACAGTTTACATTTTTATATTCTTTTGATATATTCAAGTCAGACAATCATAAATGATAAGAACCTTACTACCTGCAAGCATATCTCTTACTATACACCCCTAACTTCCATAACTATCACTATTGTAAACTCTTCTTAACAAACTAGTCCATACTGCAAATGCTTACTCTCCAAATGGGAGAGCCATGACTGAAACCAAATCAATGAAAATTGGCAACAAATTTGATTCACAGTCACCTCAAGCACCATCAACATAACCTCCTTAGAATCCAGCTTCTAGGTCCTAATGTGATGATACATGGTGCAACCCAGGCTTGCACACCTACGCCCTGTGCAGCCAAACAAGTATTTTAGAGGATTAAATGCATACATAGATGTTTTGTACATATGATGGGCTTGATTGAGGCTGAGTAAGCTTTGGACCAAACTACTTGAACTTGCACAGTTTGTTTCACACTATAATTTTCAATTACCCATGGTTGGTGCTTCTCCATCTTAAGTCTCCTTCCTTACTAAATCTCAACATAAATTTGCAACCTATATTTTATTAGCTACCAAAAAAAAACAATTCATGCATTTTGCAGACGTGAAACATAAAGCTGACTCCTTTTTCATAAAGGAGAAATTAATCAGCATACTTCCTAATTTACAAGAATAAATTCTCAAGACATGGTATCTATGGATTTAGTATGCTCACCCCACACTCACTGCTGGGAGCTTGACATTCTTATAATGGATAACACCACAGGATGGAAATATTAAAGTGATTTTAAACTCTTGTTGTATAAATGGAAGAATAAACGTAGCTGCATACCTTTGTACACCATTGCCTCATGTCCCCTGTTTTGTACAGTCATACCAGCATTACCAGCCTCTGAACGTTGCAGTGTGCTGTTTCCACCTGTAGGGTACCCACTTGGCTTCCAATATCTCCCCAGACATGCATGCATTTAATTTTTTTCTTGGTCACATACAAAAAAAACACTGGTGCTGGGCTTTTGGCACTGTCCTGTCAATGCATGCACAGTGGGGAACAGCTCACCTGTGTGCTATCTTGCACTGTGCTTGGCCAGCACATGCACATTATGAGCCCTGATTTGCCCAGAGCAGCTGCTATGTTCAATTTATGCAATAAATCTGTGATCTGTGTTGCTGCTCTTGCACTGAACAGCTGCAATGGCACAGCACAGGTGATCTGCCCCCACTGTGCACGCTCCAGCCACTCCTACTGCGCACACACTGGCCTCTACTGCTGCTTGCAAGGTGCTCTCCCAAACCGGACATTTGGGGAAAAAGATGGAGGCAGGGGTGGACTGACAACTCATAGGGCCCCCGGGCAATAGGGGATCATGGGGCCCCTGTTTCCTCACCCACACCCAAAAAAGCCTATGAAACAGCCAATGAAAGGTACCAGGGGCATCTCATGGGGCCCCCTATTTACCTCGGGCCCTTGGGCAGTGCCTGAGTGCTCGAATGGTCAGTCCGCCCCTGGATGGAGGGAAACAAGAAAGTGCTTTAAGGTACTCTACTATCATATACTCATATTTGCACTTTTCTCTCCCTTCCTAACATGATCTTTACCTCCCATCTTCCTTTCCCTTTTTCATAGTCCACCTAGGAAACACGTCACTTGAGCCTTGCCCAAATTATATGCAGTTCCTACATTTGTTTGACATGCCCTCTCATTGTATCAGGAGACAGCATTTAAGACTTACCCTGTTTCCTTTTGTTGCCATTTTGTCTTTCCCTTTCTTATACATCAGAATAATTTGTATATGTGTCTTGCTGAATGAACATAGGAGACATTATAATGTAAGACCCCAAATATTTTATTACTTTATAACAAATGTAGTAACAAGTTGTTGACTCTGTACTTACATGTTTTGTCCTTCTTTTATTACAATAAAAACCATTAAAAAGGAAGAGTACACATTGACATAGAGAATGTACATTGCTAGACAAAAACAGAGAAATTTCTGATTGTAAAAATGTTCATTCTGATTGTTTTGTGCAGGTCACTGACCATACCTGATTTTATAGCTCTCCTCTAACTATGTCAGTTTGCCCTACTGGTAAGCTTAAGCGAACCTTACTCAATTTTAACACTTTTTTAAATTTTAAATGTAAACATCCTGCCTAAGAGCAGAAGCCATTAGATGTCTGCTATTACCTTTGAGTCATTTTGTGATGTAGGTCCCACTATTTCTTTCAGGACATAATCATCAGTAGAATTGCTCTCCCCATGTAATCTTCATGATGGTTTGAGAGCTCATGCCGTCTTTCTGCACCAGGTGCACATCAACTGTGCAATATAAATCAGCCCTGCACAACTATTTATGGTGGCAGGGTATTTCTGTTGTACTTTTGGAAAACAAAAAAAATTGACCACGTGTTTTAGTGCACTTAAGGATCCAGCTAGGATTTGTACAGTGGGATCACTCCATATGCAATAAAGGGGGTTGATTTATTAAAACTGGAGAGTGCAAAATTTAGTGCAGCTGTGCATTGTAGCCAACCAGCTTCTACCTTCAACTTGTTCAAGTAAGCTTTGACACAAAACCTGGAAGCTGATTGGGTTCTATGCAGAGCTGCACCAGATTTTGAACTCTCAAGGTTTAGTAAATTTAACCCCATAGTGTCTTATAGCTTAATATGCTGTGGACTTGATTTTTAATTTCCTGTCTTCCTGGTAACAGACAACAGGCCTAAAGAGACATGTCTTGGAAGCAACTGCATTGGCTGCTTTTCTTAATATAAAGATTCTCAGGTAAAGGATATATGAAAAAGAGCATGCATAGTAAGCTTTTGATTGGCATATTGTCAGACTTACCAGCATTTGCCAATAATTCATGGTGGCTGGTGAAATTAGTGAAATTGACCAATTCATTTATATACTGTGGAGGCTATTTATTAATTCTGTTGCACACCAAGACAATGCCAAGCAGGATCAGTGAGATAGATTATGTAATAGATGTAATACAAGGTTACAGTTTAATTCATAAACTCCTCCCTCAGCTACAGTAATGCAGCGGAAAATGAAATCTAACCTTGACCAACTATATTTCTGTTCTAAGTAGAAATCTGTCCCATCTTCATTAATAAATCTTTTGCTGATGAGTATTCCCGGCACATACGTCCAACGCTGTGATTGGAAATCATGGGACCCCATAGCAAAATTTGATTGGGCCCCCCAGCCAACTCCCCTTGTATCAGCTGGCAGTTTCAGCTGTGACAATATATATCACTGATCTTGTGCAGAGCCATATTGCCATAGTGAATAAAGCTATTAAAACACAGAAATGTCTTGAATTGCAAGAACTACATAATCCCATTGTGTTATCTGTCGAGAGATTTTGATTGCAAGACAATTTTAATAAATATTAAAAATAAATATAACAATGAAATGTATGTATATAAATCAGGGCTTAAAATTTCAAGTCCTGAGCTACTAGCCAGGCCTTAGAGTTACTCGCCACCAACAAACACACACAAACAGAGACACCTGTACACACACACAGACATGTACATACACACACAGAAACATGTACACACACCCACATAGACACATGTACACACACACACAGGCACGTGCAGACATGCATACACACAGATACATGTACATACACAGAAATACACACACACATGTACATACATACACAGACACATGTACACACACACACACACATGTACATACACACAGACACAGTTAAACACACACACAGACACATGTACACACACACACACACACACATGTACATACACACAGACACATGTACACACACACAGACACATGTACACACACACACACATGTACATACACACAGACACATGTACAATTGTACATGCATACACAGACACCGGGTACTGCACTCTAGGGGGAGGCAGAGAGCACAGCACACACTCCTTGCTTTGCTTTCACTGCGCTCAGCTATTGAGCAGTCTGATGGCTCCCAGTGCCAATGACAGATCCGGCCTGAGCTCCGAGCCTGCTCAGCAAGATGGCACTGGGGGGCACACTCGCCCCCACCATAGTTTCCACTCGCCATTGGCAAGCAGGTGAGTTGAAATTTCAAGCCCTGATATAAATAATACAATGTAATAATATTTAATAAACATTACTACATTCTAAAAGCAAACATTGTTATAGGGTAATAAAGGTCAGTCAAGCTTCGGCCAGGAGGTTAAGGAATAGCCTGAACACAGAGCTGTTGAGCCACTTGTTATCTCTTGCTTATTAGATATATTAACACAAGTGAAGAGTATACCTATGTTCTATTTTTTTAAGTGTACAATACAAAACTTAAATTCAGACTCTGTAATTTCTTTGTACACCCAGAAGAATCTGCTCTTTATTTAAATTATGCAAATGAACAACAGATTGTAGTTAATGTGGCATGTGCCTCTACCATTACAGTGTATCCAGGCAGAGTGTGGTCTTAGAATTTGTATAATATTTCAACTTTGCAGTCTGTTCTGAATGTCAATGCAAGACTTCAATATCTCAATATCTGTTTTAATTTGATGACACAAGAACAAATTCATTATATCTTTATGTAAGTAATGTATGGATATATTTTGAGAGCTATGGCTTCTTCAGTAAATTACTTGTTCTGCATATAATAAGTTAAAAAGCTGGTAAAATTACTTATGGACATTAATGCATATCAAAATCTGAAATACACTTAGCTGTCATACTACCATGGCTAAACCTTTTCCGTTCTATAATAACATTTTCAAATAACCACTTATAATTGTGAGACTTCTGTGCACAGCATCGTGGGAAACCAAAGTCAGAGGTTGTGTTATTAGTCTACAAATCTCCAAGATAGCATACATGTTCTGTAGAAAAGTTCAAAGCTTTAATACACATGGGTATTATATAAAATGCTACAATTTGTATAGCTGACATACAATACAATAGTTTGGTAGTTGAACGTTTCACCCTGTATTAATTAGCCTTTCCATACTGTCTAAAATATATGGAGAAGGTGGACGTAGAAGTAAATAAATTAGTGCCAAATTACACAGTAATATCCTGCTTTGTACAAATAGAATGTAATGGGAATCAGTAAAGATGGAGGCATAGGAAAGATGCATGAATGGGCTTTAGGATTTGCATATTTTTTTGCAAACCCCAAATGATAATACAAGATCCATTATAACATACTTCACAGAAGAAAAACAAGTATTTAAAATTAGTTATTGCAGTCTCTCTCTATAGAGGATGGCATCCTATGTGTGTCCTGAATATTCACTGCCAGTAAGTATCTTTGATGTAAACATCTTTTAGAAAGGCAATAGCTCTAAACAGGAGTAACAATATTTTACTGGAACTGAACTGTGGAAGCTTTGGCAAAAAAAGGGAAGCAGAGGGATAAAATTAGTCATTAGTATTGCCTGTAGGCTCCCCGCTGTTGCTCTTTTTCCCAATATTGACTTATTGCATCTTGTTCCTTACTATGTTTCTGTGTGTTGGCAGCCTTTTTGTTAGTGACAAGGCTTTGTTTCCTCATGTCAGAGCTTATGACAGCTGGTGGGGTAGTATTCCAGAAGTGAAGAAAACACAGATCCAAAGTTAAGAAGTGAATTAGAAGAAGGGAGATCCTTGCACTGCAGGTCCTCATGTACAGCTTTCTCTCCAGCAAACCCTAATTTTAACAATTGGCAGCACAGTAGAGATATAACCAAAACTAACCCTAAATCTCATAAAAACAGCAGTCACAAACATAGTGCATTACTGTATATCCCATACTGCAGATATACAACAGATATATAGCTATATAGGCACTGGATTGTCTAGACCCTGCACAGGTACAATAAATATTTCTAGATTTCCCCTCTAAAATAATAAATCTTTGTTTTTAAACTCAGGTCCATTTTAACAGGAATGGTGTCAGGTGCTGGCAGACAATGGCACTGAGTGGCTTATTGGCACTAAGTGGCTTATTGGCACATACCTTTCCACAATTTCTATGGGAGTGCACATCTGGCACAAACCACCTCACTTCAGGACAGTACACTGGTGACTGATCCTGCACCTTAATGTAATAGTTTTTACAGGTCATCAGAGTACATCACCAAAACTTAAAGCGGAGTTCCACCCAAAAGTGGAAGCTCTGCTTTTTTGCCTCCTCCCCCCTCTGCTGCCACATTTGGCACCTTTTGGGGGGGAGCAGGTGCCTGGTTTTGATAGGTATCTGCTCCCACTTCCTGCTCAGTTTGCCGCTGAGTACTTAGCTGGAAATTCTGCAGCCCTCTGGGGCACTTCCAAGCTCCCAGAGGACTGCAGCCCATTCACAAAGTGCAGTGTGCGTCGCGCATACACAGTAGGACACTGACAGTGAACCCGCAAGGTTTAACTGCCAGTTTCCCTTAGACAAGATGGCGGCGCCAGCACCCAATAGCATTTGAAGAATAGGCTCGGGTGAGGACACCGCTAGACACATGGACAGGTAAGTGCCCTACTATTAAAAGTCAGTGGCTATAGTATTTGTAGCTGCTGACTTTTAAAAAATTTTTTTGTTAAACACGCTGGGTTGACCAGAAAAAATCTATTTTGGGATGTAAACATCATTTCTTACTTTAATGGCTTTTCTTGCACATGGTTACCATTTTACAGCTTGACATATATCAGATTATCTTTATTCATGCCCCATGTACAGCTTCCAATGCTTTCCATGAGCACCTTGTTCTTAGTCACACATTTGAGTGAATTCCTGTAGCAGAAAGAAAGCTCTTCCTGACCAGTTGGAGGAAAACACCTGTAAAGACATCCATTACAAAAATATATATTATCTAACCATCTTGTTTTCTGGTAATATATGGTTAATATATACTATGTGGGCAACATTAATGTTAGATTTCTGCTAAATTTTATATGCTAGCTATTTAATTTTTATTACAGAAAATGAACTACATATCACAGCAGTGTCTTGTGAAACATGCTGTTGAATGCTTGTTTTCTGTTTCTCATGTGTCAAATTAGGCAAATTAGTTTGTTGAAGCAGGACTGTTTATTTGTGGGACTGTACTACAATCCCTTTTTCTCTTTGCAGAGGAAATGACCAGAAATAGGTATCTAGATAAGGGAATACTTCACTCAACACTGCAATAATGAATATTTACAGCAGTGTGATTTCTGTCTTTTTCCTGTCCCACTGGTCTGGATCCTCAACTCACATTCTGCATTTATCTAGGTTGGTAAATGAACATAGGACACACTGCTCAGCCAAAGACATCAGCCATTCATTGTTAAAGAGAACAGTGATCTCCAATTTATCCATAATGAGAAAAACAGGCAGAGATATTGGAGGATTTTTTTCTGGGATGGGCACCAGCAGAAAGTTACTGGAACATAAAACATGTTGAAATGTTATCATAAAGGGTTCTACTTGTGTGCTTTTATTACATGTGTTTTTCCTCTTCAAACATGCAGTTCTCTCAGGGGAGTATTAAACTGATATTAAAGGTTTGTTGTTTAAAAAAAAACATAACAGACATGTTATACTCACCTGTTCTGCTTTGCACAGAGCAGCCCCGATCCACCTCTTCTTGGGTCCCCCACCATAGCTCCTGGCTCCTCACCCTTGACCAGAGCCCCCAATAGCAAGCCATTTGCTAAGAGGGCACTGGTGCTTGCTCGCTCCCGAGCCTCGCTCTATGTGACCATAAGACACATAGAACCACGCCTCAGTCCCGCTCCCTGCTCTCTCCTCCCTAGTTCCTGCTGCTGTGTCTCAGTCAAAGACATCAGCCATTCATTGATAAAGAGAACAGTGATCTCCAATTTATCCATAATGAGAAAAACAGGCAGAAATATTGGAGGATGTTTTTATGGGATGAGTACCAGCAGAAAGTTACTGGAACATAAAACATGTTGAAATGTTATCATAAAGGGTTCTACTTGTGTGCTTTTATTACATGTTTTTTTACTCTTCAAACATGCAGTTCTCTCAGGGGAGTAGTAAACTGATATTAAAGGTTTGTTGTTTAAAAAAAACATAACAGACATGTTATACTTACCTGTTCTGCTTTGCACAGAGCAGCCCCGATCCACCTCTTCTTGGGTCCCCCACCAGAGCTCCTGGCTCCTCACCCTTGACCAGAGCCCTCAATAGCAAGCCATTTGCTAAGAGGGCACTGGTGCTTGCTCGCTCCCGAGCCTCGCTCTATGTGCCCATAAGACACATAGAACCACGCCTCAGTCCCGCTCCCTGCTCTCTCCTTCCTAGTTCCTGCTGCTGTGTCTCAGCCAGTGAGGAGAGAGAGACCTGGGAAAGCCGAGGCTCCCCCACGCACATCACTGGATCATGAGGGGGCTCAGGTAAGTGTTAGGGGGGCTGTGGGGGGAGCAGCATACAGAAAGTGTGAAGAAGAAAGAAAAAACAGCAGCTTTTAGAACCACGTTAACCTCAACAAAAATAACAATCATAAAAAAATACTCGCAATTCCCAAATTTAAAATACATTGGCCACACACAATAGTAGTAGCCTGGCAGTTCCAGCTGACACACATCTATCATGGAACTCCTAATGTACTAAGTAGTTTGCCACAGAAGGTTACATAAAAAATGAGGCATTCAAAGTTGGATGAACTTTGTTTTTATTAGACATAGGTAGCTTGGTGCACATATGATGTAAAGGCCTACCTTGCTTTTTGAGCATTCTTGTATATGACAATACTTACATCCTATCAACTGATCTCTAGGTCTCATAAGGCAATCTGCCTCTTGGCCATGCACCATTTGTCTTTTCCTGGAGCTGTCACACTGCACATGCCCAAGTCTGTACTGGAAGTTTGCACAGTATCGTGGCTCTAGGAGCAGTTAGGCTGCAGCATTGAAAAGCAAGGATTGGCTGACCAGATGGATTGCCTTTCATAAAGCAGACTCTCCACTGAACTATCACAAACAAAGTAAATCCCCAATGCAAAAGATTGTGAAAAGACATAACAAGAATTTTAAGCAAAGGAGGAAGTTTCAATCTTCCCTTACCTCCTGTAGTTCTAACCTGTCCTTTGCCTGTATGAAACCAGCGGTAAACACGTGACTCAGCCTCCTGCTTTTTACTGCCCCCCTGGCCACCCC